GCAAAAAAAAAAAAAAAAAAAAAAAAAAAAGAGTGAAAGAGGAAGAGCGACGGTGTAGGAGAGAACAACACTTCACGTGGAAAGATTCATTATGTGTTTGGTGATCCCAACAAGAGACACTTATCCTAATTATTTTATTACAGAATATCGAGAGAGAGAGAGAGATCTGTTACGTACGTAGACCGTCTTCCTTGTTCCATCTTAAAGGTATCCTATGCTACTCTGAGAGTGACTCTCACGATAAGGATTTCTATGTGAAAATAAAACCTACAACAAATAACAAAGGGGGAAAAGAGGGCCGGCAGGGGGATATCTTTTCTTGTATATACATAAGTTTTTGTGAAATTATTTCAAGGAATAATAAGAAATAATTAATTAAAATAGACTAATAGTCCGTTCGGTCGTCGAGCTTCTTTTTAGTCAAAAGTGTTTTTTTTGTTAAACGTGTAATTTTTTCAAAGTTAATGTGTTTGGCTAAACTTTTAGAAGGAAAACAAAGTAATTTTTAGTAGGAGCAGAAGCATTTTTTTTCAGAAGTAGAAAAAAAGTACTCCCTCCATTTCAAAAAAATTGTCATAGTTTGACTTAACATAAATTTTAATAAAGAAGAGAAGACTTTTGATGATATAACATTTGTATGACTATAAATGCTTTCTATTAAGGAAATATTAAAATGTGTCAATCTATTTTTAAACAAACTAATAAAGAAATAGTACCAATTTTTTTAAAACGGAGGGAGTAGTTTATATCGAAAAAAAATATTTTTGAATTTTTTTTACTTAAAAACACTTTTTAAAAGTTTAGCAAAATACTAGTTATTGTTCAAAACTACTTTTCAAATTAATAAAGTCAAACAAATTTTCGGATAATAAATTAAAACTAACAAACAAATGAAAATCGGAAAATAGGCCAAGCTGAGTTTTATTGGTTTGGGTAAACCAACAGATTTTGTGTTTGGTTTCAAGACCAAACTTTGCTTTGCCGAAAAACATTTGGTTTGGTTCTGATA